CCTAAGAGATGAGTTCAGGGAAGGCTCTGTTTATATAGCCCTTTTCCTTAGCGCCGTTTGCTAGGCGGTTCCCACATTTACGTGTTATTCGTATGCGGGGTAATTGTGGGGTTGGTTGCTATGCCAATGCCTAGGCAGTTATGATTGCCGATCGCCTCGGCCCGTGGCCTTACGCTGTCGAGGAGGCTGGACGGAGCCCACCCGTTCTACGCCATCACAATTTTGTGATAGTTAGGTTCCAATATACTGCTGATGCAGTGTTTTCTTGTTGATTCTGAATTTCCTAGCAGTTGCAGCATATTTTGATCTTTTGCAACTTCAAATCTGCAATTGCAAGCTGAATTGAATCCTCATTGGCCATAGTGAAGCATTGTGTAATGGGGGATTGAAGCTAGTTTTGGTGAAAATCGCGGCTCGTTTAGTGATCCGGCTCATTTAGTGGTCGGTCACGTTACCCCTTTTCTGATATCACCCCCCTGGATGCCGGAGGGATTCAGCAATATCTGGTTCAAAGCTGATAACGAAACTATAACGGAAACTCGAAGCCAACTGAGATATAGAGCATCTTACTAGTACTGCTTCCGCGGTGCGTGTCACGGCAATATTTTTGAAGTCAAAATAATAATGATGATGAGTGATGATGACTAAAATATCAACCGGCGGATTGGTTCTTTTACAAACTGGGATACTTGACTCCTTCCGAACCGTAAAAGCCAAGCGGGGTAGTATGGATAAGAACATATTCACGGATATATTGGTAAAGTTCTCCCCCGGAATTCAACTGTGTTAACCCCCTCTACAGACAGTCACGGTCGGTCATATGCCAGGACCAAATGTTTTATATGAGCCTATCATCAAGGCTTTTGAAAAGACGTTTGATGGTATCAAAGATAGAATAAGCTACTGGTCTTGTTTTGCAGTTACCCACGTTGTTTTCAGCTACCCTCCGTGCATTGTTCGATTAATCAAACTCCATGTCTCTCATGACATTTTGCCGTAAAGAATCCTAACTACTCTGCCTATTTGGTTTATTTATCCGAATCTGCTTCCCTTGTTCTGCCAAACTCGGGCTCTCGGCAAGTGCCCTACCTAACCATATTTCATAGTTGTGAAGTACGGGAGCTCCATCTCTATAATGACTCTCTGGAGCGGTGGGTGTTTAGCATCGTGGATTCCCACAGTGCTGCACGGTGGAGAATGAAAAGTTGTGAGCTGCTAGAATTTTGCAGAAATCACAGAAAAGAAGCCAGAAGGAAAACTGTAATGGAGGAGTGGTCCCGACATAAGTATCCTGCTATCCAATGAGAACCATCTCGATGATCGCTTTGATCCGGTTCCACCTGCATGTGCCCTGGGTTATTGGATGTGGATACCACTCCGTTTAAATACAAGAGTGTTCTGCGGGATCAATTGTGAATACCGAAAGTGGTACCATACGCACAGCAGGATATTAAGGACCGAGAGGCGATAAACCCTCCGCACTCCCGGTTGGTATATCCTGCTTCATACTCAAAAGAACAAGATCATTTTTCCACAATTGCATAACATGAGAGCCTGCTTCCATCATTCATTCACAAACAAACCCAGCCATCCTTATATACTGTTTTCCTACACAAGGACCCAACCTGAACACAATCAACCTCTGATTACGCCATGTCATTTTCATCGTCATCATCATCAAACTTATATCTAATCCGGAAACTTTGTATTGGGGAGCTTGGGTGTGACTATCAAGTCAGCATAGCATGGTGGCTGCTGTCATTGCTTCTGTTTTGAACCAAGTGTAGTACTCCGTTCAGTTGCTGTTAATCAAGTGGCATGTCAACAAATAACTTACAACTTGCAGATCTGAGAGGGACTGACTGTAGATTTTTCTATGAAAAACTCTTCACTAATAAGCTAGCTGTAGACCTTGTTGTTGTTGTTGTTGTTGTTGTTGTTGTTGTTGTTCTTGTTCTAGTCAATGCTGTTGAAGTGATGCTTGATCTATTTTTCTTGACAAAATTCACAAAGCTCAGCTTCATCAAAATAATGTAATTGACTGCAGTCACAGTGGTATTCTTGAACCAGGCATTTATAGACAAGGGCGCTATCCTGGTGGCTAAAGTTACGGCAAACAGGCATGGGGGAACAGGTGGTCTCTATCTTATCACCCCACTCCACTCATACATATTCGCTACCCGACTGTCGCATTACATCTATATATCTTCAAACAACGCACCTTTTAATATCAGCTATTCACATTGGGCTCGTCACAAGAATGCGCCTTATATCTTATGAAGGTAGTTCCTATGAGGTATGCAACAAATGCCATTAACAACACATCTTTATGCAACCGTAAAACCGAGAGACCCTAACACGTGAATGTCTTGAACGCAACAGATAGGGCTACAACATGGTGAACAAACGCGGGAGCAGATAGGGGGAAGCCTAAGATTCTACGAGGATCTCTTTAAGAGGAAATGCTTGATTGATTGGCCGCAAGTATGCGAGGCGGCAGTAAAGTTTATGCCCTTTCTGGAGTCCTCGTTCCCGGAATTTATGCAAGAAATGCACGGTGGGTTTTCTTTCTTTCTGATAAATATATGAAACACCTTTCGTATGAAAGTAAATGGCTTCAGCGATATTTCTCCGTACATAAATTGCTTGATACTGAATGAAACTAACTGAGACAAAAAAACCAACACACAGGCGTTGCCAAAGGATCTGATATGCCTGTGGAATCCATTCTCGCCCTGAACGTGCGCACGGAAATCGCATACGGCATGTTCAACGATGGATGCACCGCTCTCTCTTGGAAATCTAAGGAGGGCAGTTTCGTTGCTCAAAATTGGGATGTGAGTTTCTTCATCTCCTCTGCAGCTCCTTAAAAGCCCCAACTTACAAACCCCTGACAAAGTGGGAGCGTGAACAATCTCCCAACCTCCTCGCCATGAACATTCGCCAAACAGCATCTACTCCGCAAAAACCAACAATCCACATGATAACTGAAGCAGGTATAATCGGCAAGATTGGCCTAAACAGTTACGGCGTAGGTGTAACCCTCAACGCCATCAAGGCACGCGGCACAAACTTCTCCAAACTGCCTACACACATCGCCCTACGCGCAGTGTTGGATAGTACTTCTCGCGACGAAGCGGTTGCCAAACTGGAAAGGCACGGCGTCGCGGCTGCTTGCCATATTATCATCGCGGATCAGACGGGCGGGGTGGGGTTAGAATGCTCGGCTAACGATATTGTAAAGTTGGATATGGGCGATGAGGATTCGCCCGGTGTCATCACGCATAGTAACCATTTCATACGCCCACACGTGGGCACGGAGGGGATTGTGTATTTGCAAGATAGCCCCCTGCGGTTGAAGAGGGTGAGGGAGTTGGTGGCGGAGAGGTTGGCTGCGGGTGTGAGTCCGAGTGTTGTGGTTCTTGAGGATGTATTGAAAGATGAACAGGGCTATCCGACTGCGATTTGCCGGGAGGTGACCGATAAGAGTTCTACGGCGACGTTGTTTAGTATTGTGATGGATTTGGTGGGGAAGACAGGGTTTGTTAAGATTGGGAGGCCGGTTAAGCCTGAGGGGGCGGTGGAATTGAGGCCGTGATATATCCTTTCTTTTCGAGAATTGTTATGAGTTATGAATTAAGTGAGTGTTCTTTTTTCTTTGGTTGATATCCATCTTGATCCTCATAACTAATGTGAAATTCCCTGCTTGCATCGAGTACATCGATAAGTGCTACCTCAACAATAGTATCTCCACACAGAATACACGTTGTAAGGAATATTTGGTTGAAAAAATTCAGCCTGTAATTTTATGACCAGTACTGTTATAATGTTTTCTGTGATTTCAAGATGTTTTATGTATTTATGTCCAGTTACTCATGGAAATATCGTGAAGGGGAAATAGAGCAGGGGCAAGGAGAGGGGGATGAGAACAAGCCAAATCTCCGCCAAAGATCTGAGAAATTGCACAACATCCAACATTTGATGTAGGATATCACACCGAAGATATATTTCCTCAACATAAAAGCAATAGGTTGAGCTCAGTAAAGGCAAGATGTGGCAGTGTGGCATTGTAAATGATCAAGCAGGATGTCAAGCGATTTTCCACAGGAGATTTGATACACTCGGGTTGCAGATGTAGTTCTTAGCAATGACAACGACCGCTTGCGAGCCCTCGAATAAACTCGTATCGGAAAAGCCATTCGTTTATTTTCTTGATATCTAGCATTGTGATGTCCGGCGGGGGCGGGCCCGGTTCTCTTTTTCCCCTTTCCCGCTTCCATTTATCAGCCAACCCCATCCCATTTTCTTTCTACACACATCTCTCTATTACTGAACACGAGTAAAAAGTCCGTTCATTCATCCAAAGAACAAGAAGAAAGAAAAGAATGTATTCAGGGATAGAACTCTAACGTATAGAATGCGACAAAAAATGTATGTCGTACAGAAAGTGGTAGATAAAAACGACAGGAAAATGTTTAATGTTTCTCTTTCTTTTCTTCGGCGTCCATGGTTTTCAAGAATTCCCTGTGTTACATTTTCAGAGGTTAGAATATCTATCATTTTAATATCTCCGCGGTTTCTGATACGAAGGCAAGCGGGGTGTTTGTCTGGAAGGGGGAAAAAAAAGAAAAAAATAGAGCAACGTTGAGTTGGGGTGTATATGTACGCATATACTTATACATATACTTAGAAGTGCACACGTACTGGATAAACTGTTCCTCATCCTTGCTGCTAGCCTTAATTGGTGGTCCCTTTTGCTTGTCTGCCTTGGATGGCATGGCGAGATAGCTGGCGAGGAATGTAGTCCCGAGGGTAGCCATGGCGAGCTGTGATGATTATCAAGTCAGTCCGATGTTCCGAATTGAAGTGTAACTCATATATCCCATTTCTGTTGTGGCTGTTCCAAGTAACACATATGCAGCCAGATCCGGAGGTATGGATCATTACATATGAATTGATATTGAATAGGTTGGAAGGGTTAAAGAGTGGAGACTTACGACATGGGAGCCGACTTTGCGGCCGGCAACTTGGTAGTAGACAACCATTATGAGAACGTGAGATCGGCCACTATTCGATTCGGGAGTGGGGAGTGCAATTGGTGTTTGAGGGGCTTAATCCAAGGTATGTATCGATGTTAATCCAATTGATCAATGTTAACCAACTTGACCGGATGTTTTGTTTTAGGAGGCTCAAGTCCGATGTCCGTTTTCAGGTCACTTGACACGACACTTACTCCTTTTACAGTTAGCGGAGAACCAGAAACAGAAATCGCCGATCACCGAAGAGCAGATACGTAGGTACCAAATATTGCCGCACTGAGATAGAACTTGGTTCTCTCCATGGGGAAGGAAATATATGGTACTCATTCCTTAGGTACCAGTGTTATGCCAACCTCCGCAAGTATCTCAACCACTCCTCTTCCTGTTTTTATGTCTCTACTTGATGGAAGTAAATATCAACTGTTATTTATTCAATTCTTGGGCTATGCGATATCAAGCGTAAGCAGAGCTGCAAATATTTAGTACTACCAGCATCGGCAAAAGGACTACACAGAGCATTTTCAGCATTACATCATAGAACTGTATCATGGCTTGGGGCATCAGCAAAAAGCCCCAAACTGATGATAATGGCGATAACCCTTCGCACAAACAGTCACCCGAAGGCCTTTCTCCCCCTCATCTAAAACTAAACCGGGAGCTGCAGAAGCTTGTGAACCGCGAAGAAGAGCTGCTGGATAAGGTCTATGATGGCTAGTATGGATATGCGATAGTGCTACAAGAGAGCCTACCTAACACCTGGCCTCCCATCTAGCGCCGCCGATTCCACTGATACTAAATACCGATATGCCGCATATACCAACCGTATCCGCACCATCCTACTCTCCGCCCATCGTTATGTAGCTTATACATCCGACATTGGCGAATCCTTCCGTCCAGTTGCTCACCCTTGGCTCGTGCGCTTTGCATACGGCATCTCCTGGGCTTATATTTTAGGAGACGTCGCCAATGAAGGATACAAAGCCTATCTGCGGAACAGACGTGTGCTAGCTCCGGCATGTAACGCATATCACAGTGCGACCGAGGCCGTGGCCTGAGGATCTAGCAATCGACGCCGTCGCTGGACGCAAGCTAGAACACCAGCAGGAGGCTACCCTCACCTCCACTGCGTCAAAGGCGCACCCCATGCCTTGGCCAGATCCAGAGGGGGATATCCTTGTGCCCTGGCTGACGACAAAGATACCCCTTTCTGAAGAGTATCGCGCTGTTATGGCGGAGCGCGCCGTTTTTCAAGTCATAGCTAGTATGGGGTTGCCCGCTTTAACGATACATTCTGTGGTGAAGTACTCTGGACGCGCTTTGAAGGGTGCGAAGATCACTTTGGTACGGACATGGGTGCCAATCGGGGTAGGTTTATGTCCTACGTAGATGGCTCGTAGTGATAAAACTGAAATGAGCTGTCGAAATGAGATCCCGGCCTTGACAGTTGCTGAGTGATACTAAATATAGCTTGGTCTCGCGGTCGTCCCTTTCCTCCCCTACATGTTTGATAAACCGGTCGAACACGGGGTTCAGGGGGCATTCCGGAGTGCGTTCCGTGTCATTGAAGGAGAAAAGGCTGTATCACAGCCTGCGGAAGAGAGCCAGACATCTTCAGCGATCCTCTCTAATTTAAAGCGGTACCAAGAGCAGAAGAAACACCAAAACGAGCCCAAGAAACCAGAAATGGAAAAGGGCGATTGAGTGAGTGAGCTAGGTTGACTGGAAACACTGAAGTGTGGGTTTAAGGATACTCTCCCCTCAATGGCTTGATTGTAATTTTGGTTTTGAATCCCCCCTCCCTTTTGTGTAACGTTTTTGGCATTATCTCTCATTTATTTGGTGTCCTTTTACTCCAGTCTTATATTATTACACTTTGACTCTACAGATCCAGGTTGTGGATAATTTTCCGTTGGCCTTCTTTCTCAACACAAATCATGGATGGGAACAAAACTAACACACACCACATCATTAACTTGCATTCCATACATACATTCATATATGTCATGATGGATAAAGGGAGATTTTCAACCAACAAGGAGGTGAAGCGGCATGCATCTCCCCTCTCTTTGCACTAGAGAGGATAGGAGGCTTTCCTTCCCCTTTTTCGAACTTGGTCCATATAAATGTGGGACGGTCAAAAGTGCACCAAAAATAATATTGAGAAAATTTATAAATACACTAATATATATATAATTGATGAATAACTTGAAATGTATTCTATTCATGGATGATGTTATTTAAACCGGCCGTGTCCGAATTGGGTTGTTGGGGATAATCAGTACAATGATTCAGTTGACAATAATAGACGTTATACCTTCTGACCTACGCAGCATATATGCCCGCGTGGCTTAGTGGTAAAGCGTATCACTAGTAATGATAAGATCCTCAGTTCGATTCTGAGTGTGGGCAAATTTCAAGTATTTTTCTTTTTTTGATCTTTTTATTTGTTTCTTTCTTAAATAACTTGAGTTTCCTCTCACTTGCTGGGGAACATCTATTTTCTCCAAAGATGAGAGCCTCTTGCATTTCATCTCATGTACTGCAACTTACTATGCAGAGTAAGGAAAGCTTGTTGCTGTGATTCTTTGAGTGTCAGTCCAAATGTTTCTAAAACAGATACTATCCTTCTGAGTACTAATAGAAGCCAAAGTTATGCATTCCTTCAAATGTTCACAGAAATAATTGTCAAGAACGAAAAAGTTAAGAATAGGGGAACCAAAACATTAACTCCCGAACTGCCTAAGAAAAGAAAGATAAAACAGCAAGAATGAGACAACAACCCTGTCTTTCCAGGTATATACAAACCATCTTGTTTTATCATTTCCCGACAAAGTCCAATGACAAGACAAAACTCTAGTTAGTAAAGCCGCTAGTGCAGAAAGATATGTCCCATAAATTTGTACTAAAGAAGGAAAAATGCACTGATTGGGTATTACTTCATACAAAAGAGTTGAGGAAAGGGGGCTTCTCGTTGATTTCAATGCATGAAAAGTTGAGGGTTCGAAACAGTTTTACAAATGGAGAAGGGATGGAGGCAATATCCTTGGTGTATAGAGCGAGAATCAGGCAGGCAGGTCGTTAAGTAGTCCTAATTTTGGTAGATTGTGCGTTGTTCAGATTCAGAGCTTCCGTTCCTGATTTAATTATTTTTGAGAACCTTTTATATCCCGGCACTCTTTCACGCTAAGGATTTCATTAACGACGCTCTGAATTTCGTATTAGCCACACCTCCAAAGCCATAAGCGGGAACAATTCTTCCGACTCGAGCGATACAGCTTGGAGCCCAATCTCTCTTGACCCGACCCCATCTATCAGCTGCAAGTAGTCCACCTTCGGGTTGACGATTGTATAGATCCAGGCCTAGTAAATGAAGAGGGGTGCTGAATAGCTGGACGGACGCTGGAATGGAAAACTGTGCTAGCGTTGTCTTGGAGGATGGAGTGGAAGCGAGGATATCGGGGATATGAGGTGAGAGGAGCGTTGGGAGGTTGAAGGAAGCGAATATAGTCATGCTGTCGCGGAGACAGAAGAGGGCGAATGAGCGTTTCGGGATTGGCAGAGATTCAGGCACATTGGATGGGGAAGAGTAGCAGCAGACGGGGTTTCGGTTTGGCTGGGGCATTCCTGACTGAGATGCTGGGGGTGATTTATCCACTGGGGGAGAGCCCTGTGCACCAAATATCCGCGCAAATCGGGCATCCTTGTAAACACATATTGACATATTGACAGCAGCAGTGGCAATGAATTTAACCGGGCCCGCGCATACGTTGCTGAATGCACGGTCATTTATCGTCGACGTCACGGTGTCAATGACATTGGCGGTTAAGTAGGTGGAGCCGTACAGAGTGTAGATAAGCAGGAAAGGGGTCGAGATAAAGAAACTATGGGGCCTTTTGACCAGCGCCACAAGTGATGATTTAAGACTTTGCAAGATTGAAATTCCTTTCGCAGCTTTCTCTATAATAGATCTGTAAAGATTGATTAAAAAAGAAGTCAGTTTTTGCAAGTTTAAAGGAATTGCGCCAATGTAATCTCAGGGAAATAACACAGAGTTATCCACTAACTTGTCAATAATAATTATCAGCGGACATATCAACGAAGCTGCTCCAGCTGCGCTGGCCGCATCTACTGCCAATCTCGAACCTAAGCTGTCTGTATTCCATTTTCTTGTGGACAACGAACTCGATTTCGCGCAATCGCTGGGCTGCAGTGTTTGAATTGTTGGCGCGGAAACCCGCTGGGATTGTAACTGGGACGTCGACTCCTCACGACTCATTTTCGCGCGAACATGCTCTAGGAACAATTCGCATGGACGCGGCGAATGAATCCAAAGAGGGAAAGAAAGAGGAAAACTACTAATATACTAGACAAATACACAACAGGAGGACACTGTGGCTATGGAGAAAAGAATGCAATTAGTCGATATCAAACGAATGAGGATCTAAAAGTAAACATTCATAAGAGGCGCATGACAAGCAAACCAGATCAATCACCAGATCAATCAAAAGAAAGACACAAGGCTGCAATTGAAATACGCCGCATCCTCTCTCCAATTGGCTCTGTCCATGTCATTGTTGTATTATTGTCGTTTTTTTGAATTCGGAGAATTTCTGATGATGTCAAGTTGGCCCCTTGGAATCTCGAGGCTGAACTTTGGACTATTCCCGATTTCGGGCCGAGAGCCAATCAGGACGCCGACGGCAACTCTTCTTGTGTTGGGCATTGTCATTCTGAGCCAACAGAATATAACCTCACTTCTTACGCAGGGGTTCAACAGCAACAACAACAACAACAACAACAACAACATTGACAATCCTTTTGGTATTAACTGAATAGCAGACAGAGAGATTTGACTGTGATTGATTGACACTAGGAGCTTCTGTCCTATCTCTACCACCACCATTATAGTCAATATGCGGAGAAAAGTTCTCCAGCTCCTGGAACAGCTTTAGCCGCCGCTTCTGGGATCAGCATGGGTCGGAGACGAAGAAAACGCCTGTCCGACTCTTGAGGGCCTTGAATAATACAGCGGAAGACTGACAGAATTGCAGTCAATTCTCCATACTCTTCTCATTATCTCCGTTAAATTTATATGGACTTCAATGATGTGTGATGACAAGCGTCCGTCCTTAGGACTAATTCACCCGCTCGTCTTGAGGTTCGCTGTCTCGTGTACTGAACCAATCCTGCTTACAAGACCAAGAACGCATAATCTTCAAAAGGTGGGAATATCATATAGTGGGATATCCTGATTTCTGTTCTTTTTACTACGACTCCTCCTATTTAATGAACTCTCTTTGAAAACCAAGGCTTAAGAAACAGTCGCTGTCAGAACGGTGATTTTATTTCCATCGAAAAAAAAAAATAAAATAAAATAAAAAACAAATGGATCCCACTCCTCCCTGAATCGAAAAGGGCAGTAGACTTCTCTGCGAAATTTATCAAAATCACTTATTGACTGCCAACCCAAGATTGGAGGTTCCCAGATTCCTCTTTAAACCCACCAACCTCCCCGCTGCCCCACGTTTTCCCCACAGACAAACAATGTCAAATTTCATTTTTACCGAGGGTAAATGCTTGCTGGGGAGTTTCACATGCCTGAGCTGTTCGCTTTGGCACCACCAGAAGCATGCTTTTTCTTTCGGGCAATGCTATCTGATCTATCAATGACACCTGTCACAACCAGGAATGGGGAGCAATCATTTTACTGGCCAGCCCCTACAATAACTTTGAGCATCCTTGCGAAGTTTTAAAATCCTTTGGAAATTCTTGAAAGGTGATATGGACGCCTGCTGGAGTTGGAGCCGTTGGGTTAACTGTGTACAACAGCTTGCTTTCGTCAAGGATGATCTTATCTTATCGCATAGATCTACCGTGTTTACCTCCAGTGAAGGAGTGATTCATTATAACATGGCACTTGTCCACTTCTTCTAGCTGCGTTTTACCAGGATCTCTTTAGTTCATTGTTTGCATTTCTTCCCACCACCAGCCTCTTGACCATCGATCAATTCCTAATGGCTTAGCCCGAGATATCTCTTGCTGTATAGAGTGAGGAAATGAGGGTCGAGCATGCAGATGAAAACGCCACGGTTGATTCGTCTTCTTCGGACGGTCATGAAGTGCCGAGGCTGTTACAGGAGAGGTAGACCATGATTCATACAATCAAGAAGACACCATACGGATCTTGAGAAAAATCGAGTATCGACTTTCCCCCTTGCTGGCCGTGCTATATCTCTTGTCATTTTATTGATAGAAGCAACAGTGAGTGATAAATTAGTCTGGTTGCTTTCGTACATGTGTTTATGAGGGACATCTACTCACGATCATATTTAATCATGTTTGTGTAACTGCCCATGGGCAATTCGATGTTAATTTCACAGTCACAGTCGGAAATGCCAAAATCGCGGGCATGAACGACGATCTCCAGCTTCGGGGCATGCAATACAATATCGCCTTGACGGTTTTCTTTGTTCCATACGCGCTATTCGCAGTACCAAGCAACATTGTACTGAAGATTTTACGTCCGTCAAAATGGATATCGGTGATGTTACTTTGCCGAGGAACAGTAATAATGTCAGTTCAAAGAAAAAGGAAAGTTACTATTAGATGAACTTTTATATGGCTTACTCGAGATATCGTCGTTAGTTTGATGGATATTGTTGCAAATTATCCAGGGCTCGTTATCGCCAGGTTCTTCCTCGGTGTTACAGAAGTATGTTTCAACCCAAACTCACCAGACGCCAGCTCAACGAAATGTTACTAATAGGAAATTCTAGTCCGGATTCTTCCCAACAGCTATCTTTCTCCTAACCCTCTGGTATCGAAGATATGAGGTCCAATCTCGTATGGCCGTCTTCTATGCTTCAGCATCCCTCTCTGGCGCATTATCAGGATTGTTGGCGTTTGGGATACAGAAAATGGATGGAGCGGGCAATTTGGTAGGGTGGCGATGGTATTTACGCATGAACCATCAGATATCTAAAGCTACTTCTAACGCTATCAATGTCTAGGATTTTATTCTAGAGGACCGTGTCCCAGTCGCATGCTTCTTTGTGGTGTGGTTCATCCTTCCTGATAGCCTCGAACTGGCCAGGTTCCTCACTTCATCTGAGCGGCATTCATCACAGCCAGGTTGTCAGCTGACACAGGCTCAGAGCAAGGAAAGGTTTACTAACTCCGACAGCATCAAATGGCATTATATTCTGGCCGCTTTCAAATATTGGAAAATTTGGACTGCTGTGGTTATGTACTGGGGTAATTCGATTGGCGTATACGTCCGTTAGGTATGCGGTGTGAAAGGGAAGTGTGTATGTAAATGGCCAGCGTCTATTTTTTTTTTTTTTTTTTATGAGTTTAATGACAGGGACAGAGTAAAGGGGAGGATTCTGTACTTGGTACGCCGGGAGATACTTTACTGGCATATTTTTCGAGTTTCTTTAATACATCTACGGGTTGGATGGACTAGGGAACATGAAATATAACTAAGTGATATGTGATATGTGATATGTCATCAAGAATTCCTTCCAATACATTTTGTATTTTGTCTCATTCAAAACATGTATACAAGGAGATTTGTTCCTGCTTTATTACCATAATAACAAAATAATAACGCCGGGACCTGTCGTCGGGTGTATATATACAATTATTGTCGGGGTTCATAAGTGAAAATCATTAACTCCAAATCCGAGAGAAAAAGTTGAAGTTGGCTTGTTTGGGAAAAGGAGACGGGGGAGGAGGGGGCATGGTCCATCGTAAATGAAAACCTATCTCAGGATTGGGCTGGGGGTTGACTTATGGCTTGGAAATCGTCTAAAGTTAGATTTACGGCACTAGCTTGAACAAGCTATTCCAATTGAATGAGGTTGATGTTAGTACGCCATTTTCCACAAAATATTGAAATTAAGAAGTAGAAACGAATGAAAGAGGAAAGGAGCGAATAAAATAAAATAAACGTACCGCCCGTCTCAGATCATCAATCAGGTCATCCACATCCTCGATCCCCACACACAACCGGATCAGATCCTCTGGCATATCCCTCTCCTTCCTCGTCTTCGCATCGATGCTCGCATGGCTCATACGACACGGCATACTAATAAGACTATTCACACATCCAAAGCTGACACTGATCGCCCACAACTTGGCACTCTCCACAATCCGCTCACTGATCGTAACATCACCTGTCTCAAAGGAGAGCACAGCCCCCGATCCCCGGGCCATGGAGTGATGAAGTCCGTATTGTGGATGCGATTTGAGGCCCGGGTATCTGACACGGAAACCGTGTTCTTCGAGAAACTCCGCGATGCGCTGCGCGTTGGATTGTTGTTGTTCCATGCGGACTTTGAGTGTTTTGACGCCACGGAGGAGCAGCCAGGAGTCAAAGGGAGATAAGCCGCAGCCAGAACTGTTGATGGGATAGTATAGTTTTTCGCCTAGGGATATGTCGTTGACGGCAATTACGCCAGCCATCAAGTCGTGGTGACCTGACAGGTACTTTGTTCCGCTCTCGTAGACAATGTCGGCACCCAGATTGAGTGGGTTGAGAAGGAGTGGGGAGAGCATGGTGTTATCGACTGCGACGAGAGCGTTGGGGTTTGCTTCGTGTGCCAATGCTGCGACTCGAGGGATATCGACAATCTTGATCAGCGGATTTGTAGGCGTCTCCAGTAATACTAGCTTTGTTGCTGCTGACAAGACTTCCGCCACCTTCTCTGGTCGGGTGGTGTCGACGTGGTGGACGATGATGCCGCCATGCGTGGAGAGGTATTTCAGGAGCCGATTTGTGCCACCGTATAAATCGTCACCGGTAATGACTTCGTCACCAGGCGTGAGAAGGCGAGTGATCACATCCAACGCTGCCATGCCGGAGGATACCGCCAGGGCTCGTTCGGCGGACATGATCTTGGCCAAGTGTCGTTCTAGGTGCGTTCGAGTGGGGTTTCCGGATCGTGTGTAGTCGTATTCTCCACCGCCAGAGCCAGAAGTTTGTTTGAAGGTTGCGCTCTAACGGATATAAAATATGTAAGTTGCGGCAATATTTAGATTGTAACATAGGGACCCCCCACCACGAAAACAGCAACAATCTGGTCATAACAAAAAGACAGACACAACATGTTCTGCATCTCTTACCTGATAGATGGGCATGCTGCTCGAATTGAACTGGTCATTGCCTTCTGTATATACTAGCTCCGTCGCCAGCGCATATCGCCTACAGGCATGCGGGCTGGAGGGCGCTGGAGATGGGGGTAGATTGTGCCCCACGACATCGATACGGGACATGGTCTTTCTCGGGATGATTTTAGCCTTGTCCGACGAGCTGTCGGTGTGGGAATATGAATTGTCAGCCCCAGCCATTGTTGGATATGGGTGTGGTTGAAAGGTAGATAAGGGGAAATGACGTGAAACGGGGTGAAAGTAAATGGTTCGAAGAGGTAGCTGAGGGAGTGGAGAGCTATCTATGCCAACTCCTGGTCAATTGCAATGGGCATGTATGTTAGGTTAATATCTCAAGAGTCAATCAAGTAGGGTTGGAAGAGAACTTTGGCATCAGTGGACAGGAGATATTGAACATTGAACATTTGTTGTATGTTGAATGCTTGAATGTTGAAGGTTTTATGTATGAGACTGGGCGGTGAGTAAGTAATCGCGTCAGTTGCCGAAGTCGGAGAGCCTAAACAAGGAAGAGAAAAACATTTCAACAGCTAATTAATCATGCCGCTGCGCAACCCACACCTCATGTGGGTGCACCACACCAAAACAATAAAAACATCAAAATGATAAAAATCTTGCAATTTCATCATCTTCATCATCTTCATCAATTTGTCAGGCCTATTCGCCTTCTTATGTAATCTGCACTGTATATAACTTCTGCATAGCTAGTGATCACTACATAATCAATCAAGCAATCTATGCTTCACATAGATTGCTTATGTGAAGTATATAACTTCCGTGTAGCTAGTGATCACTAGCTACACGGAAGTTATATACAGTGCAGATTACATAAGAAGGCAGATAGGCCTGACACCCCCACTCACTGATGTAACTATACTTGAGATTACATACAAAAAATAGCCTGTAACTAGGTATTAGTACATAATTTGACTGGAAAACCCATATTGTTGAAAAATCAGTCATTTTCTCCATATAGTCATTTTCACCTGCTTATCATGTCTTCTAATATCTGCTGTCATAGAGTGTATCTAGTCACTTCAAGTGACTTGATCAGCCTGTCTGCTGTGTTCTTGATAGACAGAATATAATCAATCAAAATCTTATTCATGTGGACAAAATCCTGAAGAATATGAAAGTGAACCTCTATATACTTAGATTAGTATAGAATAGCCTCACTTTTGATTAGTTCAATCACTGATTTATTATCTGCCTGAATTGTATACATCAGCTTATTAACTGGTGATTTAATCAAACTGTCATTATCATCAAAATTATTGAGTCAGAATAGCATGAAGCTATTATCCTTCAGCAACTTCTAAAAGCAGACAAGCTCATAGACAATCTCTGAGAATGCAATATATTCAGCCTCAGTAGATGATTTTGAAACACCTGTCTGCTTGCTACTTCACCAAGCAATGAGACCCTTTATCATATAAATGACATATTCAATAATGGAGCAGAAACTCAGATCATAGTCTGCTCAATCAGCATCAGTGAATATCACAGATTCTATATCCACATCTTTTTAGTAGAACACACTTATGTCAGGTGTGTCTTGTAAATATCTAAGAATTCACTTGAATGCCACTTAATTTTTCAAGATAAAGTAAGAGCTGAATCTTCTTAGGAAGTCAGTGACAAAGCTTATATCAGAGTGTGTGTTGGCAGTGAGATATTGCAGAGAGTTAATCTTTGATTTATAGAAATATAATGTAAATTCCACTGTATAAGCAATTGATTCTTTATTATCACTCATGAAATCAACATTCTCCTCTATAGAGGAGGATGTTGGGTGGTAGTCATTCATTGAGAATTTCTCAAGCAGGTTCTTTATAAACAGTGGCTTGAGACAATGATAATGATTTAACATCTCAATCAATCTTCATTCTCAAATACTAGTTTGATTCACTCACATCCTTGATCTCATAATTAGTGGTGATCTAGGCTTTTGTCTATTCAATATCTGATATATTCAGGCTATATAGATAAACATCATCTATATAAATAATTATATAGACATTGTGGATGTCATTTATGAAAAAACCAGTATCATAAGAACTGACACAGAAGTATGTTTCCAATAGTATTTTTTGCACCTTCTCATATCATAATAGTGCTGCTTGCTTCATGTCATATAGTCTCTGCATTAATTCACATATCAGATCACTGCATCCCTCACAGAACCTGGCAGGTTAGTGCATATATATACATTTATTAATGAAAAGCTGAGCATTTAAGAATGCTGTAACCATGTTGATCTGCAGAATATGTCATTCTCAGAATACTAAGATTGCCATAAGTGCTCAGAAGGTGGAAGCTGATACAACTGATGTAAATATTTTTGAATAATTGACATTCTTTTCTTGATAATTGCTGCAGACTACTCAGTAGGCTTTATATTGTTCAATTCTATTTGTATTATTAATCTTTTTGTCAAATACTCATTGGTCATGTAGAATCATTATATCTGAGGTTTTTTCAACTAGCTGCCATGCATCAATCTGCTAGAGGTGATTAATCTTTTTAACACAGGTATAGAAGTAATATTTCTAATCTGCAGATATCTGAGCCTGGATGAGATTCTTTGAAACTGGCAAGACAGTGATCTCAGAATCTGCAGAGATATCAGTCAAATTGTTGATGAAACCTCTCACTGAGGCCTCTCTCACTGAAGTAATATTCTCAATAAGCATTGAAGGATTCTCCATCTCAAAAGTAGATTCTGAGAGAACAGTAGTGTTTCACATCAAAAATGTTGAAATTCATACAGTAATTTTATAGTCTATTCATCAATTATTTGTAGAGTGTAGAAATATTAAAAGAGCAGATAGAAACTTCCTGTCCATTATAAAATTATCTGTTGATAAATCATATTGAATGAAGAGGATTACAACTGTAGCTACACAGATGACAGAAGGCAGGTTCTTGATACTTTGCTCAGATAGAGTCAGAGAATCTACTAAATGAAGATATTCTTGAAATATTATATCTTTTAATGTATAAAGGTGATCATTAGAAGGATTGATCAATTTATAATTAGTAAAGCCACTATAGCCTATGAATATAAGCTTCTGTGATTATGAGGTCATCTTCATATTCAGTTTAAGTACTATTT